GCTTAGTGTCGCGGGCCTGATCGGCGGGGCTGAGAGTCACCTAGTATAGGTTGGCATGACTGGAAGGTGTGGGGCAAGATCGGTATAACTGGGAATAGTGGTGCAAGATCAAGGACAGCCGGCAGCTGCAGAGCAAGTAGGCTCAATGAGCTATGAAAGGGGGACTGGCTTAGGCCAGGTTATGAGCAACGGGATGAGTTGAGGCACTAGGTCCGTGATGCTCTGCCACTAGCAATGTTCTCCCCAAGTGTTAAATTGTCTGGTGTAATGAGAACAAGACTTACTTCTGGTTCTTGATGGTTAGAGAGATTGTCTTGCAAGTTGGGCTGGTGCGTTCTTTTGGTACTTGTTTGCCCCCTATGGGCCATTAGGTTAAGTTGTTGTGTTCGTCGGAGCATAATTAATCTTTGCATTCACTAGTGTATGCGGGTTGGTTATGTTTGCTCGATCTTGTTAATAAAAGGTGAACTACTCATATGGGCTGCGTCTTTTTCATAGTGCTTTATCAATGGTTTTGATGCATCTAAATTTGCATGGCTACTTAGTTAGGAACCTTTGTAAGGAACCTTTGTACTTCATTCTGGATCTGCCTTTGCTGGGCTAGCAGAACCTCTGAATGCCCCCGACATTAACCTGATGGTTTTTACTGCTCTTCTGCTTGTCTTGCTCGTCTATGTCGCGGTGGCGTTACACGTGATACGTTTCTTGCTAGTGAGTAGTGCTGCTCACTATCGTGTGTGTCTTGGTCTGCTAGATGAACTTGAGCCAGACTGCTCTCGTGTTTCCTTTTATCTGTTGTGCTGCCTACTCCAATGCTTAATAAGAGGAACTCCTTGCGTGCCTAGCCGTGAGTGGACGCTTCACCTGGAATGTCTATAATGCTCGTCGAAGTGTGGACACAACCGTGAACATACGCTGACTCGAGGGCTAAGTCAGGAGTGTACGCTGCCATATTTTTTAAACTTTGTGCAAAGGAATTTACAAACAACCCAATGGTCCAAATTTTCTATCTTTCCTACTACAATTACACGTAAGCATCCATATCCATTTCAAATTTTGATCCCTTAGATCAAAATTTTAACCTTTAATTATTGACATTGCTTAATTTAGTTGTAATTTAAAGTTCTGATTTTTTCAGTTTTTGTTATTTCCTTTACAAAACAGCTTTGATCTTCCACATGACTGCTTTGTCCGGCTTCCAAAAGATCTATGTCTCGATGTGAGTAGGGTTTTTTCAATATGTATGAATTCCCCAACCATCTGTTATGGCTATATGTTTGTTCCTTGTTATAAATATGATGAATACATAACATATACATATATGTACAACTTTTTAAAAATTTTATACACTTTTAAAACCAACAGCAACGCATGGGCACAATTACTAGTAAAATACTAAAAATACTCTAACATGAAGTACATCAAATTGCTAACTTTTCAATATGTATTTACCCCTTGTCTCAGTTGCCTTTTGTTTTGCCATCTCATCCAAACAAATATAAAATTTCTGCAAAATTCTTGAGTTGATAGTGGCAACTCAAATAAATTTTTTGTTTCTGTACAATCACTTTGCAGAAATTATTGATGCATCATGCATGTATAGTGTTTATTTGGATATAAATAGTGAATTTATTTTAACTAAAACTCAAATATGCGCGTTAGCAATTTCTGGATAACACTAGCTTAATGACTAGATTTAATTGGCAATCAAGGATGAAAGGTTGTCTTCTACTTGTACAAATCCATTTTACTTTTTCTTTGTAATCAATCTTCGCATTTTCGATTAAACTCTTTTGGTATTTCTTTTGAGCCAATACATTTCTATGGAAAAAAGGGAAGTCATTCTCACATTCCGTTGTAGTTTTTCACACATCCCTCTTTATTTCTAGCCATTGAATTAAATATATCAAACAGAACCAACTACTAAAATTAAATAAGAATGTACAAGAAGCTAAAAAAGATGTGTGCTTATTATTTTCTAAAAAATATCCGACAAAAGTAGAAGAAGTATTCTTTAATGATTTTCCAACCGCCATCCTATGTTCTTCAAAGATCCTTTTGAGTATTATGTTAGATGTCAAGGAAAATCAATTACGTCTTTGAAGGATACTTCTCTTCAAATGAACAAGTGGTAATTTATCGTCAACCATGAAGGATTTATATAAACCAATTGTCCAAGGAGCATTAAGATAATATTTCCATTTGAGACAATAATTAATTCCAGCATACACATCCCCCCACAATAATTATTTCAGCCCTGTTTGACTCTTAATACTGCAAGGCTGCATGTTTCATTATTAAGCTAAATGCTAATGAAACTCTCTGGAAGTGGAACTGACACGCTCCGATTCTGATATTCCCCAAATACCAGGATAGACACGTGATGGCTTTCGTCATCCTCGGGTGTCGGCCAGCACGTGTCTATCTTGGAATTCGGGGAATATCAGGGTCAGGGCGTTATATATAATAATAATAAAACAGTTATCAATGTACTAACCCCCAAAGTTTATATATAATGAAAACTGCTAGCATAATAAGTGATGGATTTAAATCAAAATCCTAGCATGCCAAAATATCTCAAAAGTCACATCGCGGAAACGCATCGCGGAAATCAAAACTATAAACGCATCATAAATTGTCTCGTAAGCGCGGTGTGCTGCTAGAAAGATCACTGAATAAATATAACTCCCGGCCCAATGCCTGCACCTTAGTCTCTGTGCCCGTAGCCAGAGATAACTCCCTCCCGGCCCAATGCCTGTCTCCATGTCCCTCAGCCTTTTGCTAGGGATTATTTCTCCCGGCCTACATGCCAACACTAGATCCTCGCCCCAGGCGGCATAGTATCCACTAGGTACGCACAAATAGTTACGTCTCTCTTAAATAACCACTTCATAGTATAGGTTACCGATCATCGTCTACACTATAAAGAGGGGTTCAAAAACATGTTCTAGCATCCTATCGTCATCTGTCAGATAGTCTACCAGTTTATGGTTTTTATAGAAAATACGATATATTAAAATATAGCTCAAAATAGGCTAACAATTAATTCCTCACCAAAACACGAGACGATAATCAATAAATTCAGTAAACAGGATTGATATAAATCAATTCACAAAATTCGTAGGCATGCTAATCATTTATGCAATTACTATAAAATCATGTAATTTTAGAAGGGGTCCACTCACCTTTGTTTTGCGCCCCCATTCAGGACTTAGGATCAAGGCACCTAATTCCGGCGTCAAGACACTTCCGCAGCAGCATATTTGAGTCATCTCGATGTAGGACCCACTTCTTTATTCATTCAATTTTATCTTAATTCTTTTTAGTGATTAGGTTTAGTTGTATGCTCTGAACACGTTCCTAAATTATTAATTCATAGTATTTTAAATTCATAACCCGTATTTATTTCTTATTCTTAGTTTTTGTATCAATTAATGGCTTTCGTCACCCTAGGTGTCGGCCAGCACGTGTCTATCCTGGTATTCGGGGCGTGTCAGGAACTCTTTACCATTTTATATTTTTGACACAATATTTTATAATATTGATACGAGAATTAATGTTAAATTGTGGAATGACAGAGTCCATAAAAGTCTCACTTTAACAGTGTCTTCGTAGCATTTTTCATGTTATCAATTTACTCATGTCTCAATATTTATTTATTTATACCACAACATAATTTGAGGAACTTGATGTGCAATATTGATCGCACAAAGACTTCATATAGAATAGTGAAATCCTAAAAAATTAAATTTGTAGGGTTCATTAATTGTTCCAACTCTTAGGTTAAAACTAAAATTTTTAACCCATAAAATTTAGGTTTTAATCTAGAAACAGTTTTTCTCCCCCAACCCGTATGGGTTAAATTTCTAGTTCGAGAATATTAAAAAATGAATTTAGGATAATTTTTTTCCTTAAAGGAACTTTAAAAAAAAATTATGTAGACTATCCTAATTTAATTTTATGAACATTTTAACCTAAAAATATTTAGATTCTGATAAATATTGGAAAATCTCTAAACCGACACTATAAAACTCGTGGAACATTATGAAAGAATTTAATTACTTCAGCCGTTAGATTTAAATTTGGACCGTTACATTTTTTATTTTATTTTTATTGTTAGATTTGATCATATTAAATTTTAGATGTTGGATTCAATGAATTTATAAATATAAAACTAAAAAATGTTTACATATATGGTGGGCCAACTCCAATAACCTAGGAAGAATTCTAGGCTAAATTGGCCCTAGAAATGAGTTTTGGGTTAAAATCATATTTGTCCCAAGTGTTAAAAGAAGTTGAGATAAGTTTAGAACCTAAAATTTAAGTTGGAGTAGATCTTAGTAGAAATCATATTATATTATAGCAAGAATAAACGATAAAGCCCCATGTCGTAGAAGATCCTCATATTCTAGAAATAAAAAAGGAAAACAACAAAAAATATAAGAAGTCATATTTTAAAAAAAATTAGGAATTTAACCAAATCGACAGTCTACTCTTTATATATAATCTTTAAATAAAGACTGACCAAAACAAAAAAGAACAGGGGTAAGAATATGGAGGTAGTTAATCTAGAACTCCTAAGTCCCATTAAGTCTAATTGTGAGCTTGATCCCAAGGTTTATGACTATATCATATAGATTATAGAGCACAATGTGACCTAATCTTCCACTGAAAAGTAGCACCAGGACATAAAAATTCATAATCCATTGGTAATTTTCAAAGTGCGACCAGTAGAATGCTTTGAAAATGTATAATGTTTTAGACATTTGACTTTTTCCTGTAGCTAGCTTGAATTTGTCTTTCAACATCATTCGTGGAAGTTCATTTTCTCCAGAACTAGGTCACTATATATCCCACAAGTAATATCAAGGTTTATTTTATTGGGCTGGTAAGACTTTTGACTAGGTTGAAATAAAAAATGTCCACAACTTCGACTTCACCAACTTCTTATATATGTATATATACTGAGTGTGTTCTTGGATATATCTCATAAATTCAACATGTTCTTCTTCAAATCAATCCCTCTGGGTCTCTTAGTGCTTTGCCTTTTCCACCATTCTGCAATTGGTGCCTCCCCCCTTTACCATATTTGTTTCAGCCAACAAAACTACCCTGCTAGTAGTCCATATGGTGCCAACTTGAACTTATTGTTCAATCTTTTATACACCAAAGTTCCTCCTACGGGCTTTGGCCTTGGTTCAACTGGCCATGCCAAAAACCAAGTGAATGGCTTGGCCCTTTGTCGCGGTGACGTCTCAAGCAAAGATTGCAATACTTGCGTGGTTGATGCAAGCAAAGATTTACGCGAGCTCTGCCCTTCTCGTAAAGGAGCCATAATTTGGTATGATCACTGCCTTTTAAAGTACTCAGATGTGGGCTTTTTTGGGCAAATTGATACGAACAACAGGTTCTATTTGTATAACGTCCAAGAAGTAGAGAATGGAACAGTATTCAATGAGAAAGTCAAGGAATTGTTAAGTGGGTTATCTAATGAAGCTTCTGAAGATAATCAAAAGTTCTACGCTACTGGTGAGGTACAACTCGATACGTTCACAACATTATATGGTCTTGCTCAATGCACAAGGGACCTCTCTGGCGTTGATTGTAAGAAGTGTCTTGATAGTGCAATAGGCGAACTCCCAAACTGCTGCAATGCAAAACGAGGTGGGCGTGTTGTAGGTGGGAGCTGTAATGTTCGATTTGAACTGTATCCCATTGTCAGTACTTAAGAGCATTATCTGTACAGTATGCATACTATATAAAATGATCGACGTCTTGTTATATTTGCTAATAAATGAGGTCCAAATTATATTGTAATAAGAAGATCCAAATGATATTGTAATAAGATCTAGGTTTTCTTGTCCATGTAATTCTGTGGTTGCTTGTACAATTACGTACTATTGATTTACTGTTTTGAGTAAGCGTTGTATCTTGTTCTCCTGCAAATATCTATCTATGAAGAAGAATAAAGTACACGAGCATTGTGAGATTATTCTAATTTTGTACTAAAACCTTAAATAATTTTGAGGGTAATGTTAAGAAGACTAAATTTGCAAACTAAATTATGGGTAACCAATAAGAAATAAGCACGTTAATCAACACTTAAGTAATAATTCAATCATCAACTTCTATTTCATTTAGTTTACAAATTTAGTTTCCCTAGCATTACCTTATTTTTGAACACCGGCTGCAACCAATTTTTTGGTTGTGCAAAATCATTTTCACAAGCCACATCAGTCCATATGTTTCATCTATCTTCTCTCCAACGTCCTCTGTGGTTAATTTGTACCTCTTACGCCTTAAGGATGTAATTAAGCAAGGCATGTGGGGTAATTGGAGCGATCCAATTTAAGATATAGGCCGGAGGTTGGAAGAGGATGAAGAAGATGAGGAAGCCATAGGGAAAGAGAGAAGGATCGGAAAAAGAGGTTGTTTTATCTATAAAACAAGGAAAATTGTGCAATATAAGAAAAATTGCTAAGTTGTATTTAAAGTGAAAGGACCAAATTCAATATTTAATCTTACATTAGGTTTTGATGAAAAATGGATCTTACGTAAGGATTAAACTCTTAGCTATCCGAAAAAACAAATATCTCTTGCATGTGAACTTTGAGTATAATGAGTAGGTTTGAATAATTTTCTCATCAAATCTGAGCAAATTAGCAATATAATTATATTAATCGTTATACTAAGAAATGACATCATTTAGTCAGACAATTCCCAAATCAAAACGACAATAAATCAACAAGGTCGCAAGAAGCCGCGACGTGTGGTGGAACCGGTGCTTGTGACTCAACAAATTGCTCCATCTGAGCCCTTAACTCCTGCAACATAATTCGTGTTTCTGCAAATTGCTCCATCTGAGCCTTTAACTCTTGCAACATATTTCGTGTTTCTGCAACCTCCTCACGAAGAGTTGCAATCTCCTGTCGCTGCGTTTCCACAAGAGTCTCAATCCTCTCGCGTAAGTCAAACATCTCATCATGATCGTGATCATGATCAGATGTGGTTGTTGACGTGGATGATGACGCTGCCTTATCAGGGTGAAACAAAGATTTCAAGCGTGAGAAACTAATAGATTTGGAGCTTCGAGGCAAGTTGGGTTCATCCTTAGTAAGTGTAGTCATTGTACTGTATCGATCCCATGTGTGGGATTTGACTTTAGTGTACAATCCCAATCTAATTGATATTTGTGGTTTTAAAAGGCGTGGTGATAATGACGGAGGAGTTGAGGGATCAATGTCTGATGCTTCATCAGTACTGTAGTCCCCAAAGCTTACATATGTTTCATGCAATTCTGATGCAGATTTCTCTTCTAAATTTTCTTGGGTTGAGGAGGAGGTCTCTTCAAGTGTAGTACTCAGTTTTTCTTTTCTGACATTATATTTCCCTCCTTGCTCAAGGTAATGCACAACACATACCTAAGATATGTAAATACAACAACAACAACAACAACAAAGCCTTTTCCCACTAAGTGGGGTCGGCTATATGAATCCTAGAACGTCATTGCGCTCGGTTTTGTGTCATGTCCTCCGTTAGATCCAAGTACTCTAAGTCTTTTCTTAGGGTCTCTTCCAAAGTTTTCCTAGATCTTCCTCTACCCCTTCGGCCCCGAACCTCTGTTCCGTAGTCACATCTTCGAACCAGAGCGTCAATAGGCCTTCTTTGCACATGTCCAAACCACCGTAACCGATTTTCTCTCATCTTTCCTTCAACTTCGGCTACTCCTACTTTACCTCGGATATCCTCATTCACAATCTTATCCTTTCTCGTGTGCCCACACATCCCACGAAGCATCCTTATCTCCGCTACACCCATTTTGTGTACGTGTTGATGCTTCACCGCCCAACATTCTGTGCCATACAACATCGCTGGCCTTATTGCCGTCCTATAAAATTTTCCCTTGAGCTTCAGTGACCTACGACGGTCACACAACACGCCGGATGCACTCTTACACTTCATCCATCCAGCTTGTATTCTATGGTTGAGATCTCCATCTAATTCTCCGTTCTCTTGCAAGATAGATCCTAGGTAGCGAAAACGGTCGCTTTTTGTGATCTTCGCTAGATTGCTCCGGTCATTAGTGTGGATAAGTATATAAATGGATAGAGATAGGAAAGCAAACACAGATGTACGTGGTTCACCCAGATTGGCTACGTCCACGAAATAGAGGAGTTCTCATTAATTGTGAAGGGTTTACACAAGTACATAGGTTCAAGCTCTCTTTTAGTGAGTACAAGTGAATGATTTAGTACAAATGACATTAGGAAATATTGTGGGAGAATGATCTCGTAATCACGAAACTTCTAAGTACCGGAGTGTGGTATCGTCTTGACTTGCCTTATCTGTCTCTTAGGTAGATGTGGCATCTTCTCTGGAAGTACTCTTCCTCCATCCAGGGGTGGTATCTTTAACTGGTGGAGATGCACAAGGTAATGTATCAATTTCACTTGAAGCTTACTTGTAGTTTCAGGCTTGGTCAAGCGCGATACAAACCATGTAGTAGGAGTCCTCCAAGTCGCCGAGCTAGGGGATCTGCTGAAAGAGGTGACAGACAAGGTAAGCAATCAGAGCTCCAAGCAATCAGTCCCAGATCAGAACTTTGATTTCGAGTTCCGGCTGATTGTTCACATTCTCCCTATCTTGCAGGCAGCATGAAGGATAAAGAGAAGAAAAATGAGAAGAGATGATATGGGATACTTTTGCTTTTGAAGAAGTAACTTTCCACAGGCTTATTCTTGAACTGGGCTGGAGGGTTTTCTGGTTTCCTCCAGAGTATAAGGCCGACTGAAGAATTTGAGGGTCAAAACAAGTCCATCAAATCTAGAGTACGTTCGACCCTGCTGATATGGGATACTTTTGCTTTTGACAGAGTAGTGGATGTATCGGCACGTGTGCTGTTACGCTTGTCTCCACATGCTTCCTTGTATCCTTCTCTCACTTGCCCTATCTGTTCCTCAGGCAGATGCGGTATCTTCCCTGGAAGCATAAGATGTTGAAGATGAGTACTCGAGAGCAATGCCAGGTAAGTAATCAAGGTAAGGGGTTCCAGGCAGTCAGTTCCTGACTGGAAGCTTGATTCCAAGTGCTGACTGATTGCTCTCTTTCTCCTTGTCTTGCAGGTAAGAACAAGGCCAAAGGAAAAGACAGGGAAAAAGCATGATATGGGATACTCTTGCTTTTAACCCTGATGATATATGAGATATTCTTGCTCTAGTATAGCTTGTTTGCAGAGGTATTATCGGGGGGAAAGAAAGCTGAATATTTCGAAAGGCTTCGTTTGGGAGTGCCCTCTCAGATATGAGGAAGGGTTGAGCATTTTTGCAGGTCTGCCTGTCTGTTGGGGATGGAGGTCAACATATATAGGAGTCTCCCTAACAACAAGTAGTAATGCTATTCCTTTACCCTGCTTGGTCATAACACGGTAGTGGGAGCTGCCAGCTTCACATGTTTTAACTCTGTCAGAGCACTTTGAAAAAGTGGTCTGTGGTATCTGGAAAGCTGATGTTGCGTGTGAAAGATTACAGACAAGCTTTATCCAAGGAGATCCGGCTCTTGAAGTTGGGAAAAATGGTGCCTCTTCGGTTTTCGAACAAGCAATCCTGTCGGAGATCTGGCTCTCGAGATTCGGAGAACGATGCCTTTTCGATTTTTGAGAAAGCAATCCTGCTAGGGGTCTGGCTCTCGAGATTCGGAGAGCGGTGTCTCTTCGATTTTTTTGAGAAAGTAATCATGTTGGGAGTCTGGCTCTCGAGATTCGGAGGCGGTGCCTCTTCGATTTTGGAGCAAGCAATCTTGTTGGGAGTGTTTTTCTCGAATGTGAGAAAAAGGTTGGGCATGTTTGCTAGTCTACCTTGCCACGAAGCACAGAGGTTGACACACAGGGACTTTCCAATTATCCAGCAGTGGTACTGTTCCTTTACCCTTGTGGGTAATAATATGGTAGCTAGACCTTCAAAATTTATGTGTCTAAACTTTGTTAGTGCTGTTTCTTTGCTATTCTTTTACCCTTCTTGGTCAGAGCGATGTAGTGGGAGCTGCAAGCTTCACGTGTCTCAACTTTGTCAGAGAACTTTGGCAAAGTTATCTGTGGTACCCATGAGCTAATGTTGCGTGTGGGAAGTGGGTGATTGAACAGTAAGATTCATGTGCTTTCTACTTCACCAGAAATCTTCGACATAATGCCCATAATTTCCGCAAAGCTGACAGGTGCTGACAAGGCTGGAAAAGTAGGTGCCTCTTCGATTTCTGAGATCGGCCCTCGTGGTCTCTGAGCAGCCCAGCTTTTGAGAAAGCAAGCGCCTCTTCGATTTCTGAGATCGGCCTTCGTGGTCTTTGAGCAGCCCAACTTTTGAGAAAGCAAACGTCTCGTGGTCTCTGAGCAGCCCAGCTTTTGAGAAAGCAAACGCCTCTTCGATTTCTGAAGCTCCGTCGAGTGCAGATTTTTATAGAGGCTGGCATTAAGTTCCAAAGCACACTTGAATCTCCACCAGTAGAAGCTCCATTCTTGCACTTCTAAGATCTTGATTTGTCCGACCTCTTCTCTCTTCAACACCTTTGAAAATGTCTGGCCCCTCCGACCGTCGTTTTGACTTGAACCTTGTTGAAGAGGCAGCCACGCCTTCTCCAGACAACATATGGCGCCCATCCTTCGTCTCCCCTACTGGTCCTCTTACCGTTGGGGATTCCGTGATGAAGAATGATATGACCGCTGCGGTAGTGGCCAGGAACCTTCTCACTCCCAAAGATAACAGACTACTTTCCAAACGGTCTGATGAGTTGGCTGTTAAGGATTCTCTGGCTCTCAGTGTTCAGTGTGTGCAGGTTCTGTGTCTAACATGGCCCAACGCCTATTTGCTCGAACCCGCCAAGTTGAATCATTGGCGGCTGAAGTGATGAGTCTCAAACAGGAGATTAGAGG